GAATGGCAAAATAAATACAATGTCTGCAAAAAGGATTTTATTACAGACACAGTGATAATGCCAAGAACCCATTTGCTCCTCTTGTTCATTTGGAATGATGTGGGAAGGCTGATGTTTAACTGTTAATTTAGTGAAACTATATTTTAAATTTTAGAAAATGTTATTTTATATATATTTTTAAACAAACGTTCTTCTATTGAAAAGATTTAGACAACCCCCTGACTTTTTTTTTTTTTAAGTGTCACCATGAGGTTCGCATTTGTAGCTTTGAGTAAAATGTCTTAACTGCAAGCAGGTGGATTGTCATGAAATTTGGTACACGTGTATTCGTTGTTTTCTTAGAACTGTAATAACTGGTGATTCCTAACTTTTGGTCTAAGTAATGTTTTCATTACTGACCGAGGACCTGCAAAACTGGCTTTCCCATCAGCATCAGCTGTACTGTTCTTCGCACTAATTAGCAGTTGCTGGCATGCTGACATGGCTAACGTGATAAATGTCCACAACATCAGCAACATCATTGCGAGCATGTTACCATGCACATTGTTTAAAATCCATCTGTGCCTGTTTACCGACTTAGAGCTACTAGCATGGCTTGGAGACTTCTTTTCTGACGTTTAGAATATATAAAAACTACAAAAAAAAAACTGGGATATCCATCTTTCCAGTCAAACATTTCCACATTTCTGAGCAGTACTAAGTTTTAGGACCCATCAGTCTCTGTATTTACCTGCTTCTGATTTCAGGTTTCTAATTAAACAAATGTGTCAGAGGAATTCAAACTTTCACGGCACACCGGCCTAAAGAATTCTTTAATTTTGCAAGTCATCCCAACAACAACAGTTTGTCTCCATACAAAACTTGTGAAGAATGTGTGACTTAACAATTAAGCCACTTCGTCACAGACATCATTACTGTTCAATTATTATTTTTTCTTTGAATTCACATACCTCCACTGAGTCAAAATGAATTTTTGTCATCAACATACACAGTAGTGAGAAAAATAACTGAACATTTTATCTTCAGTCTAGACAAACAGACCGTACACCGTTGGCCTTAATTCATTACGTTAAATATTCCTAAACCTAAGTAGTAAGATGATGATGATGATGCAGCCTGGAATTTACTGTATACTCCAAATCTGCATACTACTATTGCATTTGAGCAAAATATATCTGAATTCTTCTGAATAAAAAGAAAAGCTCACAAAGTCCCAAGCTTAGCAGCTTTACACTTTCACAAGTGAATTGGCACTTTGACAGCACAGATGGGTGAGGTAGCAAGTTATATTACCGACACCACATTAAGGAGTTATTTATCTTTTAAGGAAAGTGTCAACTATTCTGAAGTGTTTTGAGAAAGAACACTTGTAAAACATTAATTCGTTGCCTCTGCCAAGGAGGTTATGTTTTTACCAGTGTTTTTTCTTTTGATCTTAGCATAACTCAAAGTACTGAATGGATTAAGATGAAATGGTTAGGAGGGGTAGGGTACGGCCCACGGAACAATCCATTTGATTATGGTGCTGATCCAGATCATCATCCAGATCCAGAAAATGTTTAAAGGATTCTTCACCATTGTGACATAGGGCCAATTTCAATAGTTTTGCTTCTACACAGTGCCTACAGTACTAGGACAAAAATGGCACAATAACATCCATATAAGCTCTACCACACACCAAAGTATGATCTGGATCCAAGTCATATTCAAGCAGTATAAAAACAAAAGGAATTACAGTGGGAAACCGTGGATGAGTAAGGGATTACAGAATGCATGTAAAAAGAAGAATGCGTTATATTAGGAATTCATAAAGGACAGATCAAGAAAGACGGAAGAAAAATATAAGTCGTATAAGAACAAATTAATTGAGATTTTGAGGAGATGTAAGAAACTATATTACTCTAAAGTATTAGAGGATAATAAAAATAACATGAGAGGTACTTGGAATATATTAAATAAATTGATTAGAAATAGTCCCAGCAAGAGTAACTACCCTCAATATTTTATGGATAATGATACACCGGTTAATAGATTGGAGGATGTAGTAGATAAGTTTAATAGGTTCTTTGTGAATGTTGGTCCTGGTTTAGCAAGAAGCATTTGTACAGATGATACATCCGTCACTATAAATAATAATACAATCGAAAGGAACATGAGTTCTATGTTTTTGAAGCCCATAGTTGAAAAGGAAATTATAGAGATAGTGAATAAATGTGGTAACA